CATAGAATTTTAAAATATTGTGTGCTGAATTTTTATTTTTTGGTGCAGAATTTCCCTCAGGAGTAATTCTACTGCAGTGTTTGAACCCAAACACTGTAGATTTGTGCTTGTCAGAACCAAAAAGGTGAAAAGGTCTAGAAACAAAAGGGGAAATTGACTATTTTTCAGTGTATAAGTTGAAACAAAAAAGTCGACAGCATTAATACTATTAAGTAGATTAGATTTAAAAAAAAATCATTTTAGTAACATCAGTAACACAACTATGGAAATAATATGTAAATACAGGAAATCTAGAATATCTTCACTTTTAAATTAACTTGCATGATAGTGAGACAATTCAGTAATGAGAACTTAGCAGCAATCTGAAGGATAAAAGAATAGACAAAAATTAAAAATAAAATTAGTAACGTACATTTTTCTTACTTAGGAAGAGTAGTTTTTCACCTACAGTAATCTCATTAATTCATCATATATTTTCCATATAAACAACAGTAGCTTTTCTTTTAGAATTATTCAATAATTTGTCATATCTATATCTAGGTCTATCATACAGAGTAAAAATTCTATTCATCTACAGTAACTTCTAAAAACAGACAATAATTACTGGATAAATTTACACACAAGATATTATGGTAACTGAATAATCTAATTTCTGCGCAGATAATGAAACTGCTGTCTACACACTAATGCCAATGGTTATGGCTGACCAGCACAGGTGAGTGTTTCTTCCTACAGGTTTGTGCGTAAATTACTACTTTTTAAATTATCTTACTTGTAAGGTTACAACCATTAGCCTGTCTGTAACATGCGTCTAAATGGTAATAACTATAAACATCCTCCATAGTAGTAGTCTGCAGCTAAATATTTTTAAGGGCATAGGAAGCAACATGTTTAGTAGAGCTTTATTTATTAAAGTAGTGTTGGCTCCAGGGTTTCTGTTGCTGAGCTGCCATCCAGGGTCACAGAGGCCAGGTCTGTACTACATACTTTCTTTGATATAACTACGTTGCTTACTGGTCTGGATTTTTCACACCCCTATCAACATGGTTATATTGACCTTAACCCCCTGTATAGGCAGCAGAATGTCGGTGGGAGAGTTTTTCCTCCAAACATAGCTATTGCCTTTTGCAGAGGTGTTTTCTGCCTAGAGCGTCTTCTCCAGAAGTGCTGCAGCGACACATCTGCATTGGTATAGCTGTGTTGATGCAAGTTTGTAGTGTAGACCTGCCCAAAGAGAAGATTCTTGCATAGCTGGGGCCTAGCTCACTGAATGCCCAAACCTGCAAAAGACTATGTATATACTTTATGTACCTGAGAAATCCGGTTGACTCAATCCTGGAAATGCCTGTGTGTGCGCTTAAGACCAGGCGTTTGAAGTGGGTCCAGTGATGGAGAAGGAGCCAGTATGTAATGAATACTGGGAGAACAGAACAATGGTAGTTTCTTTGTGAATGAGATGTAGCACTAGGAGTTGATGTACTGTTGGTATTGAAACTCATAGTATCTATCTCTAGGGGAGATTGTCCAACATGTGTTGATCAGACAAGACTGATGGCTGGGGGCCTTCTTAAATGACAGTTGTTTGGGAAGCGGGGAAGCTGTTGGAATCTGTCTGAGGGATGTGTCAAAAGAGTTTGCTGCTACTTCCCTACCCCTGTTGAGTTTTGTAGACAAGTAAGAAGCACTGAAATTTGTTGATCTGATATCAGCATGTATGTTGTTCCTTCTCCACAATATGTTTATGCTGACACATATACTAGAGTTTCAGTTATGCAGCCTCCTGGACACCAAGTCACCAGGTTGTTTCAACCTGAGCCTAATTTGAAATGTGTGTCTTGTAGTTAATGCTGTGATCCATCCAGGTTTATACGGCTGTGTGTCTTACATGTCAGAGTTCTTCCATAATCATGGAAGTTCAGTCGAACAGTCTGCCTTAAATTTTATTATATTGGCGCTTTTTCCTTCTAAACTTGGTGTATGCATAGGGAACTTGCCAGAAATGTGGACAGGGAACATGTAGAGGAGTGGGGAGAAGTATTGGTATACATTTATTTATAATTGCTCAAAGCAAAGTCAGTGCTTACCAGAGTAAAGAAATGTCTTGAACATCTTGTCCTAGTCCACATTAATGTACATCCAAAATAACCACACAATATGACATATTTGTTGATGTCAGTTTGAACTAGGAAGTGGAAGAGCAAGGGGCATTGCAGGTTAGTATTCAGGTATTTTAACTGAGCTGTGGAGCCCTGCCTTGTTTATAGGCTGTAAGGGAGAAAAGTGGTACACTGAGATGATGGTAAAACAGATAAAGTATTCAGTCATGCAAATGTTTTGTGATGTGTATCTGAAAGTGGGTAAAACTATCTTTAGACTTTTTTCCCTAACACACAGTTTTATCTGCTTAAGGTCTGTTTCAGAGCTGCTGTCAAATTCAAAATTTGATGTGAATTATGCATTTGGACGTGTGAAGAGGAGCTTGCTTCATATTGCAGCAAAGTAAGATTTAGCACTTTTAAGTTGTCTGGGAGATCACTTAAAGGATTACAGTACCACAGAAATCTAGACCATTAAACGGGAAAACCCTTCAGTGCATATTTGTTGCTATATTTTTTCCCTAACCTTTCTTGAATTACCAGTGTGCACACTTACCACTTCAAGAATAACTTTTAACACAAAACCAGGCAGCTTACACTCAGGATTTCAAGTGGGCTTCCATATCCTGACAAGCTTGTGGATAGGCAACATTAACTACTGATGGTTGCTTTTTCATCCTTTTTGAAATAGGACTGCTGTGGGAGGAATAAAGCCTGTTTACGGTGTATGTTGGTTAAAGAGTTACCTCTGCAGTTGCTAGCTGCCTGAGCTTTGCTATTCCAGACTTGCTTTTCCCCTCTGTAGTAGACAGTTGGCTTTTTTTGGGAAGCATTCAGTCATTCTGTCTCATGATAATGACATCAAGGAAGTGAGAAGCGCTGCACTATTCATTAGGTGCTTTGCTGTCATAATATGGTGGGTTGGTACTTTGCTCAATTATGAGCAGACAGGGAAGAATTTTAGGCTGTATGCTGAACATTTCTATCCAGGCTGAAGTCCTTGCCTGTAAATATGAAATGCACGATGACAAAGATATTCTCGCGGGTGTTTCTGGGTATGTGTTGTCAGTTACTCCTCCCATCGTGAAAGCTACGGCAGACAATCGTTTCGCGCCTTTTTGGCGTGCAGACGCCATACTGCTTTCAGGAGATGGTGCACCGCTGCTCTCCTGCTACTATGAATCCACCTCTCATCTTCCTATGTAATCTCTACTATCTACTCTTTCTCTTCCTCATCGAACGCTTCCGCTGCCAACTCTGCTCTCCTGCTATTGCCGCGCTTCTGAGCTTCTCCATGTTGTCTGTCCTGGGCTCCCACTACAGAAACTACAAAAAACAACCATTTTCCTCCTTTTTTTGGCTACCGTGAACCGAACAGCACAGCTTCCTCTGCCACTCTGCTCTCCTACGTTTCGCGCCCTTTTTCTAGGATTACCCATGCAGATGCCATAGCCATGGAGCCCGATCAGATGTCCGCTGCAGTTTTGACCATTGTAAATACCTCGCGCATTATCCAGCAGTATGTGCAGTACCTGCAGAACCAGGCGAGAAAGTGATGATAGCGCGATTACTATACTGATGAGAACATGGACACAGACGTTCCTAGAAGCACGGCATGTGGCGTTTGGGAGATCATGGGGGTGTTGGGCCAGGTTCATGCCGTGGAATGCCCATTCTTGGACTGGTGGGACCACATAGTGTTGCAGGTATGGGATGATTCCCAGTGGCTGAGAAACTTTCATGTGTGTAGGGCCACTTTCATGGAACTTTGTGACTTGCTGTCCCCTGCCCTGAAGCGCAACGACACCAAAATGAGAGCAGCCCTCACAGTTGAGAAGCAAGTGGCCATAACCCTGTGGAAGCTTGCAACACCCGACAGCTACTGGTCAGTCGGGAATCAGTTTGAAGTGGGCAAATCTACTGTGGGGGCTGCTGTGCTGCAAGTAGCCAGTGCAATCATTGACCGGCTGCTCTCCAAGGTAGTGATTTTGGGAAATGTGCAGACCATTGTGGATGGCTTTAATGCGCTGGGGTTCCCTAACTGCAGCAGCGGATATGTGTTCAGTCTATCACCTATCTTGACCCCGGAACACTGGAGCAGCCAGTACATAAACCGCAAGGGGTACTTTTCCATGGTTCTGCAAGCAGTGGTGGATCACAAGGGACGTTTCACTGACATCAGCGTGGATGGCTGGTAAAGGTGCATGATGCTCGCATCTACAGGAACTCTGGTCTGTTTGAACAGCTGCAGGAAGGAACTTGCTTCCCAGACCAGAAAATTACTGTTGGGGATGTTGAAATGCCTATAGTTCTCCTCGGGGACCCCGCCTGCCACTTAATGCCATGGCTCATGAAGCCGTATACAAGCACCCTGGACAGTAGTAAGGAGCAGTTCAACTCTAGGCTGAGCAAGTGCAGAATGGTGGTAGAATGTGCGTTTGGACGTTTGAAAGCGCACTGGTGCAGTTTACTGACTTGGTTAGATCTCAGCACAACCAGTATTCCAATTGTAATTGCTGCTTGTTGTGTGCTCCACAATATCTGTGAGAGTAAGGGGGAGACATTTATGGCGGGGTGGGAGGTTGAGGCAACTTGCTTGGTGGCCAGTTTCGCACAGCTAGACAACAGGGTGATTAGAAGAGCGCAGCAGGGCGCGCTGCACATCAGAGAAGCTTTGAAAGCCGCTTTCATGACTGGCCAGGGTACGGTGTGACAGTTGTGTTTGTTTCTCTTAAAGTTGCCCACCCCAGATAGATAGATATAGATATAGGAAATAAAGTCAAATTGTTTAAAAACCGTTCTTTATTATTTGTTGCACAAAACATTGAGAGAAATCAGAAGCTAGAAGTGTGTGGGGGGGTAATTGGGTTAGGGGGGTGGAGGAGGAGGGAAGGACAAGTGCAGAAACCAAATCAAAATTTAGGATATGCCAGCTTTCTGCTGCTTGTGCTATCTTCTGGGGTGGACTGTGTGGGTCCCTGTAGCCTCCCCCGCCATGTTCTTGGGCGTCTGGGTGAGGAGGCTATGGAACTTGGGGAGAAGGGAGGGCGGTTATACAGGAGTGCAGTGGCAGTCTGTGGTCTAACTGCCTTTCCCGCATTAGATCCACCATCCAGTGGAGCATGTCAGTTTGCTCGCCCATGAGCTTGACCATAGCATCCTGCCTGCTCTCATTGCACGTGTCCCTCCTCTCTTCGTATTCATGTAATGCTTTACGTGACTCCACAATTGTTTGCCTCTACGCATTCAACTGGGCCTTATCAGTACAGGAGGACTGCATGAGCTCCGCAAACATGTCATCCCAAGTTCGTTTTTCCCGCCTTCTAATCTGAACCAGCCTCTGGGATGGAGTAGATAGGGGCTGCGTTGAAACATTTGCACCTGCTGCGGGAGGAGAAAAAGGGAGGGTAGTATTTTAAAAGATACATTTTAGAGAACAAAGGGGACACACTTTCTCAGTGAAACCGGCAATTCATAGTGCATGTTCTTTCTGTACAAGGTCTCATTTTGCCTCTTATACTGAAGTGCCTGCCACTTTGGTGTGAGTAAGCCATCACATGCCGCTAGGCAACAGAATTCAGCTTGCAGGCAGCCATGGTAAGCCCTGGGGCACGCGGGGTTCTGCTTCTTCCGCATTCATTTCAATGCTTTCAAACTGCCGGACCCCCTTTCCTATAGCAAGCAATGTATGGTGGATTTGCCATATAAAAGGAGGGTCTGGGGGCTCTCTGGGATGATCGCTTCATACACAGCCACCCACCGCGGGGCTCCGATGAGGCTCTGAGCAGGGATGAGCCCTTCAAACTAAACGCGAACAGCCCAGCGTGGCTGGGTTTCCCCCCATTCCATGGTTCCGATCAAGCTCTCACTCACCGGAAGTGCCTTCTCCAGGGTCATGGTCCGGGAGCATGCTTTGGGAGTGGGGGGAGGCTATTGGCTTCAGCGTTAAGAATACAGATTCCCCACTTGCTGCCTGTGCACTGTCCTGCTCCTCTTTGTCCTCTAAAAACTCATCTTCCTCGCTCTGTGCTACTCTTCCCTTGTAGGTGGCCATGGACAGTGGTGGGGTAGTGGTGGCGTCACCCACCCATAATTGCATGCAGCTCACGGTAGAAGTGGCATGTATGGGGCTGTGATCCAGAGTGCCTGTTTGCCTCCCTGGCTTTTTGGTATGCTTGCCTGAGCTCCTTGATTTTTTGTATGACACTGCTCTGTGTCCCTGGAGTAGCCTCTTTCCGTCATGGCCCTGGAGACTTTAGTGTACGTATTTGCGTTTCTTTTTTTGGAATGTAATTTTGCCGTAACAGATTAATCTCCCCAGCATGCAATGAGATCCAGTACCTCCCATTCGGACCATGCTGGAGCTCGTCTGCGAATCTGGGACTGCGTGGTCGCCTGTGATGGTGGACTCTGCGTGGTCGCCTGTGATGGTGGACTGTGCTGATGGTCACCTGTGCTGATGGTGACCAAACAGGAAATTCAAAAGTTCCCGGGGCTTTTACTGCCTACCTGGCTAGTGCATCGGAGCTCAGAGTGTTGTCCAGAGCGGTCACAAGGGAGCGTTCTAGGATAGCTCCCGGAGTCCAATATCGTCGAATTGCGTCCACAGTACCTGTAACCCGGACCTGCGATCTCAATTTTAGCGCTACTCCACTTGTCGAGGTGGAGTAAAGAAATTGGATTAATGAGCCCTTTAAATTGAAAAAAACTGGTTTGGTCGTGTGGACGGAATCAGTTTTATTTCGAGATGACTCGGCTAAGTCTGAAATAACTGCGTTCTGTAGACCAGGCCTAAGCTCTGAACCTGGCCATAGCAATAAACATAAAATATGTATCCAATTTTTTAATAATGTTCCTTATGACCAAGATATAATGAAAATCAGAAAGTTAATCAACTACTCCTCATGCCCATTTAAAACTTTCTTGATGGCAAGTAATGCTGGATATTCTTGATCTGATGATTAAGGCTGTCGATTAATCACAGTTAATGCACGCAATTAACTAAAAAAAAATTAACTGTGATTAATCACACTGTTAAACAATGGAATGCCAATGGAAATTTATTAAATATTTTTGGTTTTTTCCTACATTTTCGAATATATTGATTTGTTACAACACAGAATACAAAGTGTACAGAGCTCACTTTACATTATTTTTGATTACAAATATTTTCATTGTAAAAATGATAAAGAACGTGTCTTTAATTCATCTCATACAAATACTATAATGCAATCTCTTTACTGTGAAAATGTAACTTACAAATGTAGATATTTTTTGTTGTTACTTAACTGCACTCAAAAACAAAACACTGTAAAACTTTAGAGCCTACAAGTCCACTCAGTTCTACTTCTTGTTCAGCCAATTGCTATGCCAAACCTGTCACACACTCAGCCCAAGGTTTAAGAATCTGAAGTGCCATCCAAAATCTGACTGGGATGAGGTGTGGAGAATGGTTTCAGATGTCTTAAAAGAGCAACACTCCGATGTGGAAACTACAGAACCCGAACCACCAAGAAAGGAAAATCTATCTTCTGGTGGCATCGGACTCAGATGATGAAAATGGACATGCATTAGTCCGCTCTGCTTTGGATCGTTATCGAGCAGAACCCGTCATCAGCATGGACTCATATTCTGGAATGGTGGTTGAAGCATGAAGGGGCATTTTGAATCTTTAGTGCATCTGGCACGTAAATATCTTGCGATGCTGGCTATAACAGTGCCATACAAATACCTGTTCTCACTTTCAGGTGACATTGTAAACAAGATGTGGGCAGCATTTATCTCCTGCAAACTGTAACCAAACTTGTTTGACTGAATTATTGGCTGAAGTAGGACTGAGTGGACTTGAAGGCTCTAAAGTTTTACATTGTTCTATTTTTGAATGCAGTTATTTTTTGTACATAATTCTACATTTGTAAGTTCAACTTTCATTATATAGAGATTTCACTACAGTACTTGTATTAGGTGAAATATACTGAAATATACTTGAAATGTACTATTTTTTACAGTTCAAATATTTGTAATAAAAATAAACATAGTGAGCACTGTACACTCTGTATTCTGTGTAACTGAAATAAATATGTTTGAAAATGTAGAAAACATCAAAAATATTTAAATGGTATTCTGCTGTTTAATAATGCGATTAATTTTTTTTAATCGCTTGACAGCCCCAACTTGCAAGGAGAGGAAAGTGATCAGGAACAGTCAGCATGGATTCACCAAGGGCAGGTTATCCCTAACTAGCCTAATTGCCTTCTATGATGAAATAACTGGCTCTGTGGATGAGGAGAAAGCCGTGGATGTGTTATTCCTTGACTTCAGCAAAGCTTTTGATCTGGTCTCCCACAGTATTCTTGCCAACAAGTTAGAGTAGTTTGGGCTGGATGAATGGACTATAAGGTGGGTAGAAAGCTGGCTAGATCATCGGGCTCAACGGGTAGTGATCAATGGCTCCATGTCTAGTTGGCAGATGGTATCAAGTGGAGTGCCCCAAGGGTTGGTCCTGCGGCCGGTTTTGTTCAATATCTTCATTAATGATCTGGAGGACGGCATGGATTGCACCCTCAGCAAATTTGCGGATGACACTAAACTGGGAGGAGTGGTAGATACACTGGAGGGTAGGGATAGGGATACAGAGGGCCCTAGACAAATTAGAGGATTGGGCCAAAAGAAATCTGATGAGGTTCAACAAGGACAAGTGCAGAGTCCTGTACTTAGGACGGAGGAATCCCATGCACTGCTACAGACTAGGGACTGAGTGGCTACGCAGCAGTTCTGCAGAAAAGGACCTAGGGGTTACAGTGGATGAGAAGCTGGATATGAGTCAACATTGTGCCCTTGTTGCCAAGAAGGCTAACGGCATTTTGGGCTGTATAAGTAGGAGCATTGCCAGCAGATCAAGGGACGTGATCGTTCCCCTCTATTTGACACTGGTGAGGCCACATCTGGAGTACTGTGTCCAATTTTGGGCCCCACACCACAAGAAGGATGTGGACAAATTGGGAAGAGTCCAGCTGAGGGCATCAAAAATGATTAGGGGTCTGGAGCACATGACTTATGAGGAGAGGCTGAGGGAACTGGGATTATTTAGTCTGCAGAAGAGAAGAATGAGGGGGGATTTGATAGCTGCTTTCAACTACCTGAAAGGGGGTTCCAAGGAGAATGGATCTAGACTGTTCTCAGTGGTAGCAGATGACAGAACAAGAAGCAGTGGTCTCAAGTTGCAGTGGGGGAGGTTTAAGTTGGATATTAGGAAACACCGTTTCACTAGGAGGGTGGTGAAGCACTGGAATGGGTTACCTAGGGAGGTGGTGGAATCTCCTTCCTTACAGGTTTTTAAGGTCAGGCTTGACAAAGCCCTGGCTGGGATGATTTAGTTGGGCATTGGTCCTGCTTTGAGCAGGGGGTTGGACTAGATGACCTCCTGAGGTCCCTTCCAACCCTGATATTCTATGAATAATGACCAATTAAGTTGCAAACAGAAAATAAAGAGAAAGCAGTTATGTAACAAAACTATGGCAGACTCAGATATTTGGATGTATCATGTAACCCTCAGTCTTTGTGTTTTCTTTTTGCTATGCTTATATTTGAGTATCTACCTTTCTTCTGAAAACTAAACTTTTTTAGCATATATTTTTTAACAAGTAGTGTTGTAATTAAAGTAAGTTAGAGGTTTGGCCAGTCCAATACTGCGAAAGGACATTAGTTGAGGGGAAACATAAACATAATGCCAAGGGTGTGCAAATCCGATATCTTTGAGGTTTCCTTGCACATGCTTCTGCGATTTGGTCTTGAGTCAATTAACTCTTTCCCTGTAATGTTAACCAAATGTTGTATTATCAGTTCTCACTCCAGTGGAGTGTCCTTTTTTTTTTTTTTTAAGTAACCTAAGTTTTCAAGTTGTAAAAAACCTAGTGACATTAAAGCCAAATTTTGTGTTGGCTTCAACCTGTGGAAGTTATTGAAGTTGCATGATAGTGTACATCAGTGTAGAATTTGACTCTCTCAAAGATTCTTGCTATGGTTTACCATTAAATTTTCATTTTACTGATTTTTGCCATTTCCTTTCTTTCTTTCCATACCTCCATCCAAGCTGTGGATCAGTTGAATGTCTAGTTCTGCTGTTAAAAAAGGGAGCAAATCCTAACTACCAGGATATTTCGGGATGTACACCCCTTCATTTGGCAGCTAGAAATGGGTAAGAAAACTATTACCTTCTCAAAGCATGCTGATTTTACTTAACACAGATTATAGACCTGTTTTAAGAATGTTTTATAATTTTGGTTTGCATACTGGTTAAATTATGTTTTGCACTTTCGAAAATATAAGTAAAACCAGAATGTGAACCATGAATTTGTAGGATATTTAATTTTTTAATTTTAGAATATTGATCTATCTAAATACAACCAAGCAAGAAACATAAACTTCTATGACCATTTAAGCATTTTTGCTCATCATCAGTTTGATAGTTGGAGAGATTTTATTTAGTGACTCATAATAATAAAACTCTTATTGCAATATTGTAATTGTATGTAATACAACACTTGACAATGAACAAGGTAAATACATTAAAGGTGTAAAGCATGGATTGGATTATTCAGGATCTGGAAGACGAAGTTGAAGGGGTTTCACTGTTTGGATTGGTATTTAGATATCAAGAAATTAACTGTGTTCCCTGAAGGAACATCTTCTGCAAGACAAAAAGACTCAGGCCTTGTCTACACTACACACTTTTGTTGACAAAAGTGAGCTTTTGTTGAATAAATGGTGTAGGTGTACACCCTGAAATGCTCCTCCCGCCAATGTAACCCCCTGCTTTGCTGACATAAAACAACCACCTCAACAAGAGGCTTAGGGCTTACGTTGACATAGTTAGGGAGATGCAGTGTATGTACTGACACTGCAGTCCTTATGTTGGCTGTTGGCTGTCACTCTTGGCTGCTGGAGGTGTGAAATGGATAAGAAGCAGATTCCTGGCTCCTGAGCCCTGTTGCTGCCTGGTCTCCCCTCCAAACCGGGCTGTCACCTGGGCTCCACACTGGGAACTCTGGCGCACAGCAGCTGACGACTCCAGGTGTGAATCTCTTCTCTTCTCTTCTCTCTTCGACCCCCCTGACACGTTTGGCCTGGCTCTCAGTCCTCCCACACTGCCCCTCTTCAGTTGGTAGAAATGCTCCTGGTGAGGATGTGCTCCACTGACAGAAGTGAGGTAGTGTGAACATTAGCCACCATAGTAACTAATGCTGTGGCTATAAGTCGACCTAACATAGGTCAATTTATCTTAGTAGTGTAGACATAGCGTAGTATTACATGTATGGTATTAATAGGACAAGAGGGCTTGGCCTACCTGGGCTCCCTCTTATCTGGTAGTGGATTTCTCTAGCCATCCTGCTGATGGCTGGTTAAGTGTGGGTTTTTTGGGGGCATCTTGAGAATAACGCCACTTAAAAGCTCTGACTCGCTGCCTCCCATCCAACCCTTTTCTCTGTGTACATGCATGCCTGATGCCTCTTCGCTTTCCGCTTTTCTGATCGTGTGACTGGCAGACAGCCTCTTCAAGGGCCTGGGAAAGAATATACTTATAAGTTCTCTAGGGCAGCATATGTGAGTTATGTTATGATAGTGAAGATGATGGGAAATGCAATTAACCATCAGTGAAGAAGTGGAACTGAAAATATACTATGTCAAGTATACAAAGTGAAATGAAAAAAAATGAGGAAAATACTTTTCAGTTATCTTAAGTGGTGGTTGTAAAGGTAATAGTTACAGAATTTTCAGAAGGAAATCTGACTCTTCAAGTTGTCCCTTTTAAAGGTAGGTGCAATATTAGCAGTGATTCTAGGGCTGGGTTATTTTGTTAAAAGAACAGGTTATTGCTGTCAACAATCACACTTGCTTGCACTAAAGCAAAAGTCCACATGAAATTAAGAAGACATGTGCCTATTACCCTGACCGCTTTGCTCTTTGAAGCCTGGGGCGGGGGATAAACTTCAAAGCCCAAGCTGCAGCCTGAGCTGCAACTTGAAGGTACTGTCCCTGCAGCTATTTGAAGTGCGAGCCTGAATTGGTTGACCTGAGCTTGGGCGCGTGCTGCTGCATGCTGCGTGGACATATTCAAAGGGCCTAAGTAGCTTGCATAAGGTAACACAGGTAAAGTGTCATGGAGCAGGGAACTTATCTGAGGTCTTCTGAGTGGATCGTCCTTCCTTCCATTTAGAGTAAAAGCTGTTTTATCTGGCACTTCACCAAATGGAAAGCTCTATAAACCGGCATTTCTGATCTTAATTGAAAGTCCGGTTTATAGTCTGGTTGGCACAGGGCCGGTTGGGGCATGGGAGGGGGTGTGGAGCGTGGGCTCTGGGAGGGAGTTTGGGCATAGGAGGAGGTGTGGGGTGCTGGATTGGGGGCTGCTCACCTCGGGCGGGTCCTAGGCAGACGCGCGGCAGGAGGCTCTGCATGCTGCATTCGGCCGCAGGCGTGGCCCCCACAGCTTCCACTGACTGCTGTTCGTAGCCAATGGGAGCTGCAAAGCAGCACTCAGGGCAGAGCGGGGGCACCGCGCAGAGCCACCTGCTGTGCCTCTGCCTAGTAGCAGCCGAGATAGGTCGCCGCTTGCAGGGAGCCACCCGAGTTGAGCACCTCGCACCTCTTCCTGTGCCCCAAGCACCCTCCTGCACGTAAACTCCCTCCCAGAGCCTGTGCCCTGCATCGCCTCATGCACCCAAACTCCCTCCCTCTTTAACTGTCATTTTTCGTTCACCGGCAGCCTCTATTCTCCCAGCATGCTTTTATGGATTTTGAAATGATGTGTTAGAACAGGACACTTAAGTATTCTGATATTTGTAACATAGAAACCTGTCTAATCAACCCAGCATTCTCCCTCTATCTCCTGTAAGCTAAAACTCTTGGCTGTGTGAGTCTGCTATGGCATTGGTGACCATTTGCTTGTCTTTAAATATCAGTTAATGGTGCACTGTTATGAAGAAAACTTACATACTGCAGTCGATGCATGTGATGAATTAGTCTGAAAGGGGCATGGGGAAGATATTTGTTTTCTGCAGACCCTTTTTCTTCTTTCATGACTGGAACTGAATATGTTCTTTCCTTTACAGGCAGAAGAAATGTATGAGCAAGCTCTTAGAATATAGTGCAGATGTCAATATTTGCAATAATGAAGGTCTGACTGCAGTAAGTGCTATCCATTTTAGTTAAGTTACTGAAGTGCTTCTCTTGAAATTAATAAACCAGTGATATGCTAACTTTACTGAAAACACCTGTACCTTGTGCCTGATAAGTGTTTGACGAGCTCGGCTATCATTAAAACTGGAAGGGTCCCCGTTAATATATAATTGTAAAGTATTGTGGAACTGTTAATTTACCAGTGATTAAAATTGATCAAAATATTTCTAAAACAGTAAAATCTTTGATTCAAATAAAACACTTTCAGAAATGCAACTTTATATGCTCAAGGTTCTTTTTTATTTTTCTACCTCCTTCGTCAGTGAGCAGGCAACATAACAAAATTTCACTTTTATACAGGATTTTAACTTTTTTCCTTTGTGTAACTGGTATTGTAGCAAACTGCTTTGACTTGAAATTAAGGAGGGTAAAGTTGTGGCACCACATGGTATTATATTTGTAACTACTAGTTTTGCTGACCTGAACAATGAATGTGGACTTCTGATATCAAAGCAGAGGGCTCCTCCCTCAAACATTCTTGATTGTCTTAGCTGGCACCAGTCCCTCTCGTGCACCTCATGAGTCCAAGAATCTAAATTTAACTCTGTCCTCTGGTTGTACCTCCTATCAATAGGGTGTTCAGTCTACTGGTTACGTTCCTCAGCAGGTATGGTGTTTGAGGATCCTTTCTTAAACACATTCTTGCAATCTACTCGTGTTCAAAGGGAGCTGCTGTGAATTCAGGCACAGATTTAGACTTCTAGATGCATATTTAGGCAGGTAATTCTAGGATCCTTTTTATGAAAATCTTGGCCCCATAGCCTTAGGTTTTGTACACTTGTGTTTATGAAATATATGTATGTATTGACTACTAAGAATATTAGTAATTTGATTTTTTTTTACTTAGATTCACTGGCTTGCTGTCAATGGGCGAACAGAACTACTTCATGATCTTGTACAGCATGTCAATAACGTAGATGTTGAAGATGCAATGGGACAGACAGCGCTACACGTGGCTTGCCAGAACGGTCACAAGACAGTAAGTTCACAAAACTCATTTGAACTGACTGTAATTGTTAAAACCTGCAGTCTCCTTTGAGAGTTTAAATAAATTAATGCACATCCCACAGCTGTTCATACAATTGATTAATGTATTATTACATAGTTGATTGCAGATATTGGTGTAGTGTTAAATGTTCTTGAATATTTGTTCATGCATTACTCACTATAATGTGTAGTATTTTGAGCCATGTTTGTCAGAATGACTACATACAGAAAAGCGTATATGACAACTTTTAATCAGATACAGTTAAGTGTTTGTACTTTTGGGGATTGATTTTGCATTAGGATTAAGCATATACATGCAGAATAGATTTTGCAGATTTGGACCTTTTAAAATAATTTTTTTTTTAAGATCATATGGAACAGTGATCCTGTTATCCAATGATATAGACCACTTTGAGTAAGAAATGGTCTCTAGACTATTTCCCAACCCAATTCTCCATTCTGCTGCGGTCAGAAAGTTACTCTGTGAACCACCAGAAAGGGCTCCTGAAGACAAGCTGTCAAGGGTTACAAGGTTCAAGACATCAGCTAGTAATCAGACTGATAATTATAGACACATCTACCTCATGTGGATGGGATAGAGTTGAGGTTGTTTAGGTACCTTAGCTCAGCATTTTCATACTTTACAGTGTTTGTTTTTACTTAGAATTTCCTCTTAATATATTTTTCAAAAAGGCAATATCTTTTTTAACCTCAATTTACTGATAAATATTTAAACGTCAGTATAAGCTTTTTTGGGGGGGAATCTGATTTCAGAGGTCTTACAGAATGGCCAAGTCCTATAAAAGGCATTTTAATTAAAAAGCCAAGTCCTAGAAATAGAGACTAGAGAATGCGAAAGCATTTCAGGGTGTAACTGTCATAATCCTTTTCCTAATTTTTAGGTATCTTGCTTTTGAGATGTATTACTGGAAATTAAATGTACTCGTATAACTGAAGAGAGATGCATAAAACTAAGTTTCAAGCCAAGTGATATCTTTGTTAATTTCTGGTTCTGACACTACTTTTTTCCTTTACCCAAAAGACAGTGCAGTGTTTATTAGACAGTGGTGCAGATATTAACAGGCCAAACGTGTCAGGAGCAACTCCACTCTATTTTGCTTGCAGGTATGGTATGTTTGACTTCCTAATACTGTACAAAATTTAAAATTTTAATTTTTAAATACACAATACTACACTAATTCAATCCATAGCAAAGAACTCAAATCAGGAAATACAAAAACGAAGAATGTATTTCGTCTAAGCTCTCCTTCTTGCTGGAATGCTGTATGGTATAGTATTTGAATATTTTGTCAACATTTTCAGACATGCACACATGTATAAGATACATGTCTGTCAATATTGCAGGCTAAGCACCTTTCTACACCTGTACCAGGGTATACCCTAATAAACTAATGAATCATAATTTTAGATTTAAAATAAGGAAGCTGTTAAAATAACCAGTATTTAACCAGCTTTGTATGCTGGGTCAATATTCTAGGTATACAATTTATTCTTTGTATACAATTCTCAAACAACATTATGGAAAAAAAATTCAGACAATCAATGGTACTACACTTCCAGGAAGGTTATATCTGTGGCAAGTTTAAGACTTCATTGGAAGACTAATTGTGTTCCAGTTCTGTTTTTAAAACAGTTGTACATTTAAAAAAAATTCAGGGGGTTGCAAATTGAACATGTGAAAAAGGTGGATTATAATGGAAATGGTTTGGAATCATTGCTGTAATGGATGCTAACCTATAATATGGTCAAATAAGCCTTTATAAATCATGCCGTTATAAACTAACCAACATAAAGTGAATCAGCTATCTAAACTAATCTGTCATAAAATACACACCATGTCCTAAAGACTTTGTATTGGAGTGAAATTTTGTTTTCTACATTGATTAATTCAATTTCCAATAGCTTCTTATTCTAATTGGATCCTTTCAGCTGTTTGTTAGGACATCTACAATTCTGTAATCCTGGTGCTTTGATTACAGGTTAAATAGTTCACCTGTGGTGAAATTATAAATGTAAACAAAGTGAGAAATGAGCTAACCCATTGGCCTGCTAAGAGCTAGATTGTGGGAGACTGGTCTGCTGGAGGTCAGACATATGCTGACAGTTGGGGAGAGGGGAAGGAGAGCATAAATAGTGGCTAGCTAATTGAATGTCTTCTGGCACTCAATTTAGGGACTGGTATTGATATTAGAAGAAGCAGCTGAGTTGCTCCAGATTAGAGGCATTTAAACCTTTCAGAAAAGAAAGGAGTGTGTGGTGGGTACAATGGTAACTTCTAACAATGAAAAATCCTTGGTTGAGAATAAACCTGGTTTATTCTGCCTGGTTCAGGTAAATTTAAGGGGAGATGCTAATTCTGTATTCCATTTGCATTGTAATATTGTGTATATCCCCTATAAGACTGCTAAATATTTTCTATGTTTAAGGGCATACAGGGGTTAAGACTAATTATTTGCAAAATGAAATTCATGTAATACACTTAAAGCCACATTACTTGGGCTTTGTAGGAGATGTTTAAGGGCTGAACAAATCTAGGGTTAGGGCATTAGAATGCAGCATAGAGCCTCTGTAGCTGGAGTAGTAATGGAAGCTCTTATGCATGGTTTTAGGCCAATTGGTTTTGAGTAGTAGTCAACCAAGTAATCCTCTTCTGTGCAACTGCTTCATTTGCAGAGAGTAAAGACAGTCCTTGATTGGTGTAGAAGTCTTTGTGCCAGGTCTTCCTGGAGGGCTGAATTTCACCCATTCTGAATTAAAAACTACTGTAATGGATGATATATGCCTAAAAAGTGAGCAGTTATAAAGGCTAACACCAATATAATATAACATCCTATTATAGTATTCTGGTGACTATAGAAGCACTTATATCTAATTTTTCCTTTCTCCTTTAAAATTTACTTGGAAAATTAATTTTCTTAAGTGCAACTGTATGGGATGTGTGGCATACTTACCGCTTTTTGGTCTTTAATGCGCCACCACTGGCTGCGAGAAAATAGCTGATTATATGTTACATAAAGTAGTTATATTGTTTCCTTGACCCAGAGCTTTGACAATGAGATGTATTAGACTGTGAAATAGTCTCCCAAGGGAAGTAGTAAAGCCCATCACTCTGAATACTTTTATCTAGATTAGACACTAAAAACTTATTGTAAAAAAACCACACGCATACACCATGTTATTGCACTGTCAGGATGATGTACTAGATGACAGAATAGGTCTGTTCTATCTTTCAAACACCACTAATGCAAATATAGTATATTTAACATTGCTGTATTTGGCAAGAGTTTTTTAATAACGGATAACTTCTGTTTTCCTACCCTTACAGTCTATTGTAAGAACATGGTTAGTTAGAAACAAATTATGTAAGTGATTCTTTTATTTAAAATTTATTGGATGAAAGCTTACTAGGCATCTGGAAAGAATCATAATATCTCATCTTCTCTAAGTACACTTTTCCAATGTAAAAGTATCATTAAAAATGCCTATATTTTTCCTTGTGCACTGTATTAAACTCAGGAACCATCAAATGGGCCTAGGGGCTACTTGTGGTCAGACTGTTCCTGCATGAATAGGCAAAAAATTCCAGGCCAGGCCAGTGCTTGTAATATACCTTTGAAGCAGGCTGGAGAACAGCCACTTAGCAGTATGTCAGAGGGACCAGAAGAGGTGTCATCTTCCATGCTGTGCTTCTGCTTATGGATTTCTGTAATGTAACTTTATGCATTTGGTCTCTAGTTTGTATTGGGCTGGGAATCAAAGTTTGGGAGGAACACCTATTGCACTGTTAATTAGCTATTTAATGTAGACACATGTACCACTCAGGGGCTAAATACGTTTTGGTAAACCTTCTGTGTTTCATGCAGCCATGGTCAAAGAGACACCGCACAAATCCTTTTGATGAGAGGAGCCAAATACTTACCAGACAAAAATGGAGTTACACCACTGGATCTCTGTGTACAGGTATACATGTGCTTTACATTAACCAGTGTTTTGTGTACAATTGATATGGAATGATTTTTTTTCTCCTCCTTTGTTTCTGCTATCTGAAAACAAGGACTTCATCCCTAGAGGTCAGAGACCTCTTTTGAGGAGTTACAGGGAAGCGGCTCCACCTGACTCTTTTGGTTTGACTTCTTGGATTAGTTCAGAATAGCACAACATATGCTATTTTTTGTCTATTAATTCCATTAGAAAATGTTTTATTTTTCTTCTCCTGAGTAATTAGGAAGAATGTATATTCTTGCTATAATCTAGATCAACCAAGATTACCTTCTTATTAGGGTAGGCATATAGAAGATTGATGCTTCTGTCACAAAATAGCTGCTCACGAGGTTAGGGTCTTAAAAGAAGTAAACAGACAGCCATTCAGTTAGTCTCTTCTTAAAGGCCACATTTATTCAGACCATAATTATATCATCTTGGGGTAATACATTCTCTTTTAGGTGTTCATGTGTAAACTGCTATAACAGCTAAGAGCCGAAGGCCTCTACGTAAGAGTAACTTATTACTTCAGATGTTAACTTTTCAAGGAGATGAAGATTTTGCTGCTGAGCCTTCAGTTTTTCCAAAGGTATTGCAATCTCTACATCCAGGCCTCTATTTTAAAAAGGATGAGGATGTTATGACTTCCTGTTCCTACACATTTTCAGCTGCCATGCAAAACAAAATCTAGTTTTGTCAGAAGTCTACGAGGTTTTATAGAATGTACGTTAGTGAGTATCTTGTAACTCCAGTGACCTGTTTCTTTTTGTCTGGCAAGACAAAGGGTCAAGATTCAGGATATTAAATACACTATTTCCAAGTCATCTTTAAAAGTTAGGCAAGCTCTCTTATTGCCTTCTACTTTCTGAAGACTGCACAGACAGATTCATGCCTGGTCACTTACAGTTAAAGAATGTCTACATGTGTTTGGCAGCAATTCTGCTATTCATGCTTCTGGAATCTTTTAAAGAGGGATGATTCTGAACGAGTTGTTTAATAGATTAATCTGTAAAATATCTTGCTCAATTCGTAGCACTTTTAGAATCACCTTTGTATCTAATAAGTCTACGGGCTTTAATTACTATCACTTTGGGCACAGTTCCCTCAGCTCCAGTACGCTGCTTTCCCTCAGTCTACATCAGGGATTGGCAACCTTTGGCATGTTGTCGGCCAGGGAAAGCCGCTGGTGGGCAGGGATGGCTTGTTTACCTACAGCTTCTACAGGTTTGGCCGATCGCAGCTCCCACTGGCAGCAGTTCACTGTCCCAGGCCAATAGGGGTTGTGGGAAGCGGTGTGGGCCAAGGGATATGCTGGCTGCCCTTCCCGCAGCCCCTGTTGGCCTGGGACGGTGAACCACAGTGAACCAGTGGGAGCTACGATCGGCTGAACCTGCAGACGCTGCAGGTAAACAAACCATCCCAGCCCACCAGCGGCTTTCCCTAACGGGCTGCGTGCCAAAGGTTGCCAATCCCTGGTCTACGTTTTTGCTAGCATTTCTTTTGGTTCTACAAAAACCTTAGGGAGTAACATACCTTAGTATAATTCCAAATCGGGTTTAACCTGTAAAGTGTCTTTTAGTTTATCAAACATGAGATCAGACTGGAAGAACTCATGTGACACCATTTAGCATATGCAAGATTCTCTGTAAGTGGAAAATTTTGACATTAATTAGAAAAATTAAACAAATAGCTGGTTAGTTGCCAGAAAAGTAGGTGGAATCTATACAGTGTAAGTTAGAAAGTGGGTAAATGATACATTGGAATCCTAGAGATAGGAAAGAGTATTAAGGATGTTGCTGCCTCTAGGACAGTACTGAAGAGAATAGTTAGAGGCTTTATAAAAATGGCGATGGCCCATCTAGTCTTGTATCCTGTCTTCTGACAGTGGTAAATGCCAGACACTTCGGAAGGAATGAACAGAACAATTATTGAATGATCCGTCCCCTGCCATCCAGTCCCAGCATCTGGCAGTCAGAGGCTTAGGGACACCCAGAGTCTGGGGTTGCATCCCTGACCATCTTGGCTAATAGCCACCTATCCTCCATGAACTTACCCAATTTTTTTTTAACTCACTCATACTTTATATCCTTTTAAATAGCACACTAGGCCATCCTTAGCATGTGGCTTTCTTATATAGTTATCAAAACTATATTTCCTAATCACTACTGATTTTTATTGCTCACTCTTAATAGTTCTGCGTTGGTAGCTCAACTCATTTGTGATGAGAAGGGAGTGGTTACTGATCCTTTGGTGCATTTAATTTTGAATATATTCTTCTTCTCTTCCCTCCTCCCCTCCCCCCCCATCTGAGAAATCAGATTGCAGAACTGAGACTAGTTTTTAGACTCTAATAGTCAGCCAGCTAAACTCTGCCTGGATTCAGTTCTGTGCTGAGTGAGCTGTGAAAGGAATGCAAGCTGGGGATTCCTCTAATATGTGTAGCTGCTTGCTTTTGTATATTTTCTTCATCAGTCAGCATATTCTGGCATGACTCTAGTTGGATACCTGAAGTACTGTCCTCTGTGGGCTTACAGGAACTTGGGGTGTGTTTGTGCAAGTGCTTAGTTCTGGAGGATTATACTTGGCTGACTTCTAAAGTGTCATTTACTGGTGCTTAAAGGAGTCCTGGCTAGTGAGCTTTGTCTGTAAAGATGATTGTGACACAGGACCTTGAAGATTGTGCTGGTGTGATACTGTTGAGGAAACTGAGTGTTATAAAGACCTATATTAATATTCTAATACTGTTAAATATAACTGAAGCATAAGTGCTGTTGACTGGTAGGGAAATCCAAAAAGTCATCTAGGGTAGATTTCCTGAAACAAAATTAGTGATGTGATACAATTCAGAACTCCAGATTTTGGGAAGCTTTTGGGAAGTTCATTTTTAAACCTTGTGTCTTGGGTGCATATCTAGTCATAATACTTCAATTTTCTTGTCTTGTTCATTTTAATTTAAAAAGTTATACATTGTTTATGGGATTATCCTATTGCCGGGATCTATAAGATAAAAAAAAAATTGTCTCATGAGCTTGGGATTTGGGAATCTTTAACTAAGGCATCTTAATCATGTTTTGGGGAATTAGTTTTCTGGGTGCAACAAGCTAGAATAGCAATACCCACCAAATGTGAAAGCAGGAGCTAATATGATTTATGTATAACTCTGTTGTTTTCAGCATTCTTCTTAATTATCAGTTAAAATGGCTGCTGGAATGTAAAGTTATTGTAGTTTTTCAAAGATGAAATTGATTACCTTGAGAAGAGAAACTGAGACTACTAATGCTTGACACATGAATGTTCATTTATCTGTATTAACAAAAAATCCACTCAACACCTGAAGCTCACTTTTTATTTAACTTTCAAGTCTTTACTTTGAGATGAGGACTTTGAGTCTTTTGCATTTGCTCTTTAGTATAGGTCCCTGAGGATGGATTGCCTGTCTGTAAGGATGTATATAGCACTTGTTCTTAAAATTGTTTTATAATAGTTTCTTGCTTTAAAAATGCTGTCTTACAGGGTGGGTATGGAGAGACTTGTGAAGTTTTAATACAGCATCATCCTAGACTCTTCCAGGCAATTATTCAAATGACACAGAATGAAGAGCTACGGGAAAACATGGTAATACATATTTTCTATGCTGTGTCTACATCAGTCTCTCTCTCCTTACTTTCTCTAACACACTCTGTTAGTGCCATTATCTACTGTATTTTAGTCCATTGTTTTTCACTCCATTAAAATGTATTTATTTAATTTTAACATATGTGATTAAGGATTCTTCTCTTTTATTAAGAATGGGAATTTTCCTAATTTATTTTGGAATTTGTTTACTGATCACAATCATGTACGTGACTCACTAGCATTTGACTCCATCCTTGCTATGAGTACCATACTTGGAACTGCATTTATTTTCATACAAATTAAGTTATTTTACAGATATAACTAAAAATAAGTGACCTCCATGTGCACCATGTCTAAAGTTATGTGTTTAGCTAATATTTTTTAAACTGGCTCTGCTAAAGTGAATACAAACCTAATTTACATTCTAGAAGGATACTATTATTTGGTTGTACCACTTTAAATAATGAATTACAAAGCACAATATGGTAATAAAGGTAGTCATGATAATTACTCCAGCCAGGCATTTTAGAACTCACTACTCAAAGAATTTTAAACATAAAAGAGAAATAAAATTATGAAATGTGCAGACCAATAAAGTAAAATAACAGTACTGTAATCCTTAACTAACTTTGAAAGAATAAAGTTACAGAGAATATATGTGCATTGTGCATTTTGAGAGGAAGTACCAAGAAGTAACAACAACAGTAATACAAGTATGTGTTGGGGGGGAGAGTGTGTGTATGAGAGAGAGACAGTGAGCTGTCTCTTTAAGCACAGAACTCATTAGTCTGAAGTACAGCAGCAGCCGGCAGCTCCCACTCATGACTAGGGCCCTACCAAATTCACAGTTCAGTTTGGTCAATTTCACAGGCAGAGGGGGTGGAAGCCTGGAGCTCAGGCAGGAGCTATGGGGGGTGAAAGCCCTTAGTTCCAGTTGGAGCAGCAAGAGGTGGCAGCCCCCAGCCCAAGTCCCTGAGCCCGGGCAGGAGCTGAGGGGGATGGGTGGGGGGTCGGCAACCCTGAGCCTGGGCAAGAGTTGCAGGGTCAGGAGCCCCGAGTTCCGGCTGGAGCCTGTTTGCCTACAGCCCTGGCAGGAGCAGCTCTGGGGGGTGGCAGCCCCAAGTCTGGGCAGGGCACCCTGAGCTTGGACAGGGGCTGCGGGGGGGGGGGCGTGGCATCCCCCAGCCCGGGCCCACCCGAGCATGGGTAGGAGCTGCTGGGGGGAGGCAGCCCCCAGCCCAGCTCTGGGGCTGCTGTAGCGCAGAAGTGAGGGTGCTGTGGAGGTAGGACTGATCTCCCTCTGGTAACAGCTGTGCAGGGGAAAGACAAGTCCTGTCCCTCTGCAGTCCAGCTAATTTCAGGGAGATCAGATTTCACTGGGAAGGGCTTATTTCACAGTCACTGACATGTTCTTCAGGTTGTGAAATTGGTAGCAGCACAGACTCCTGCCCCTCCCCCCCCAGCTCAATGGAGATTGGGTACACGGCGGGAAGATGGGAACACCCCAACATCAGCCGTCCACCTGTGCTCTGCACAGCAGACAGGAGGTTCTCAGGAGCAGCTTGGCCGGGGCAGCTCCAAGCTGAGGTAGAGGCAGGAGAAGCAGCAGCTGCAGATGGCCACAGAGCAGCCAGGGGGAGGAGGGACAGGACATCCTGCTTTGAAAGTGCCCCTCTCAGCAAGGCGCCAGGGTCAGTGACCCAACCCACCCCAAAGTCGGGTCCTGAGAATAAAGTAGCTGTGATGGGGTATACAAACCCCATATGCGTTAGGAAGGGGTTGTTAAGCTTCAGTGACCCCAGTCAGCCTAGGTGTCAGGCTGGAAGGAGGAGTTGGAAGGAAGAAGCACAGCTCAACTGGATGCTGACTTGGCATGAGAGTAGGCTGGCAGCTACCACATCATGCAAGAAAGCTGGCTAGGACTGGAAACTGACGGAAGACTGTAGTGTGCCAAAGACTCCCTGCGGGAGGGTAGGCCTGACCCACTGTTCATTTGAATGGTTACCAGAAATTCCCTGGTGTGCATTAAGGCAAGAAGCTGCAGCTGGGGTGTGTATGAAAAGAAGGGGGTTGAAAGTGAGCTCAGCAGGGCTGAAGGTTTTTTTAGTTTGTTTGAGGAACAGGTTTTTTTTGGGGGGATGGATGCAAAAATATGCATGAAGAGAAGGGAATAGGAAAAGTAACAAGGGATGACAGCAGGCATGAAAGGATGTAGTGAAGAGCACAGATAGAAGAGTTAGAGAATTTTTGTGACTGGGAAAACTTTCAAGGTCCTGGACAGTGAAGGGTGCAGATGAGGGGTGAAAGGAGGAACTGAAGGTAGAGAAGAGATTCTGGTTGTTGGCAAGATAAGTCTGCTTGGGAGAAGTAAAGTTGTTTAGCAAGGAAGAGGAGAGAATGAATTTAAAGAACTGGTGGTTAGCACAATTTGGACTTTGGAGCTCATCACTATTTGAATAAGAATGGAGGTAGTGAAAGTTAGGGATCAGCCAGGCTATCAATGTAACATTATAGGGCAGCAAAGGAACAAATCAAGAAACTTAGTCATATCGGCAGAGTGATGAAGCTTGTGCTAATCTTGAATTTGCCTTCTTACATGTTCATAAATTCTAAAATGTACTTGATGGATTTTCATACCAAAAAAAAAATGACACTTTGCATAATGATGATTTTTTTATTAGTACTTTCAGAGCATTTATTCATGCTATATTCTCAAGTCCTATAATACAAAAACCAACTTCTAAAATAAATTTTTGAATAAATTTTCAGTTTAAAAGATCTTTTTGAGTATTAGGTGCTAATTATGAAATGGTTGGGCACATACATATTACTGTTTCTATGGGTTTCCTGCCTCACCTAGCTATATGTTCTATTTTGGATTAATCTGTAATAGAACATGTTATCTACTTTATTTTACCATATCCAGTTACGGCAAGTTCTAGAACACTTATCCCAGCAGAGTGAAAGCCAGTACCTTAAGATCCTAACAAGCCTTGCTGAAGTTGCTACAACAAATGGTCACAAACTACTTAGGTAAGTGTCAAAATATGCAAGTAGGTTAGTAATGAAAAATATGCTTAAAGATACTTAGTTCCACTTGTTATATCAAGAACAGAATATTTATTTTCATTTGATTTCTTGTCCGACTGGCATGAAGACAAATATCAGTCATACTTGGTAGAAACATTTGAAGAAAGACCATCCTAGTGGGGCTTTCATTTTGCATTTTAAACGAATTTCTTTAAAAGGCTCTTTAAAAGAAACAGTGCATTTTTTTTTAAGTGGAGATCAGGTAGGCATTATGATTTTGGGGGCTCTGTAATGACGGATCTAGGATCTAGTGGAGTTTTCTGCCACCTCTTTTCACTTGAAAGGGCAGGTAGTAAGCTGCAAAGAATGGGGTCCATAGTCATTCTTTGAGATTTAAGGTAAGTAGATCTTTAGGATGGGTTTATTATGGGCTAATGTGTTTTGTTTGGTGTGTCAAGATCATCCAAATTCAACAAGCTGTCTGCCGAGCTGTGAAAGACACATCATCTCCTGGCCCTTTCCTGCTGCCTATTCCCTAGTCATCTCATTTGTACCTTTTTAATTTTAAGATTTTTATGTACCTATGTTGATAATACTCAACCATGTGTCTTTAGAATCCTTAATGACTGTGTGATGGGTTAGATCCCCTTTGGGATGCCATCTGATGTATTAAGCCCCGCCTCCTGCTCCACTAGCCTGGATTCCCTCTCTCTGTTTTGCTGAATTCAGCTCTCTGGGCTCCACACACACACGTAGGGCCACATCCAGCTGCAGACACAGACCGAAGTCAGCTCTGTGTGAGAGGATTCACCAAGCACTCACGTGTACACCCCTTTTCGGAAATAACCCCAAAATAATACTGTCTTGCATTGTATACAAGGATCTGTACAATGCAAACTCATAAAAATTCACCCTCTACCTCAATGTGAAGAGAGAGATGCACAACTTCTTGCCCCCCTGTCCCTCCCAGTTAGAAATTGCACAAGCTGAGTTTAATAATAAACAAAACAAATTTATTAACCCTAAAAGGCGGATTTTAAGTGAGTATAAGAGATAAACAGAACAAAGCAAATAAAACAAAATACGCAAGCTAAGCTTAATACACTCAAGAAACAGGTAACAAAATGTAATTTCTTACTCTAAATGTTGTTTTAGGCAGGTTGCAAAGTTTCTGGAGCTTAGAGTTCCAGTTATACCTCTTTTCAGACTGGACCACGGTCTCAGTCTGGACTCCCCCCTTGCCATCCCTTCAGGTGTCTCTTAGCTGTCTTTCTTCTTGGGCAGGCAGGCAATGGAGTAGAGTCCCATTTGCCCTCCTCCCCACCCTTCAATAATATTTACATAAGGCTGGACTCTTTTTGTTTTCCAACTTGACAGACCCCCTCACCCCCCTTCTTTTAGTGGAAAGTTACAAGTCCAAGATAATGTTTAGTATCAAGTGACAAGGCCACCTGGCCTGGTAGCGTCACAGCTACGTCCCAGGATGCTTCTCAGGAAGGAGAGAGATTAGTATCTTCAGTCTTGTTGTTTCTGCCTAATGGACCATCAAATGTGATGGCCTGTTGTATGGTGGGTGTCTTCCAAAAACACCCAGTTGTAATAGTTACATAGTCCATATTCCTAACTTTAGGTACAGAAATGATACCTGCATATGCACTGGATAATCACATTCAGTAAATCATAACCTATCCATTAATCTCACATGACTCCTCTTGCATAAAACATATCTTTGTTATGCTATATTCATATCATAACAATATTTCTATGAAGAATATTGGGTGTAACGTTACAGGCCATGTCTACCATTTTGATACAGTTTAGCTATAACTTGTTGCTTCATGTTCCTTCAGCTAAATGTTTCCCTAACATAGGTGCTTCTGCAAGGCAAGAGTATCCTCACATACAAGGTACTCCTATCTCCCATGCTTCATTTTGCTTCTGCTGTCTAACACTAGCATTTTCCTTAAGTTGAATTCTCTTCTCGCATCTAGCTACTCCACAGATCAGGCTTCTGCTGTTTGACAGCATTGTCTTAAGTATTCCTCTGAAGCATCTGAATCATGTTGCTATTGCAGGCTGGATCTTGGTCTACATGGGCCTCATGTCTGATCCTGTATGGCTATTATGCCACTGCCTCAACTTCGTTTGTTGCCATCCTCATCCATTCCCTCACCTCCTCTCGCTCCTTTAATAACACCCGTATAAGTATCTTATGTCCCCATTCTTCAGACTAATGTGCAGAAAGTGGATGTCAGTAGTCTTGCATACAAGTGTACTCACTTCTCTAGTGTCAAATTATTATGCTGGCTCCCTGTACGTTAGAGAACTCCATTTAAAGAAGATTTTTCTTTGCAAGCCTACTAAAATGTCCTGGTAGGATCTTGCCTCTGGATATGTCTGCTGACACCCAGAAGAAGCTGGTTCTTTCTTTGAATTTGCTATTAGGAGCACTTCCGAGAAGCAGCTCCTGCCATTGGCAATATCTTTTCTGCACCTTTCTCCACCTAAGTCCTTTCTTCCTCTGGTGTTCTACATCTTTCGTTGCTGTACAGTGTGTGGTGGGATATAGGTTTTACCTCAGACCTTGTAAGCTACTTGCTAACTCTGTCTTGCACTGACCTTCTTTGTTACTTCACGCAATCTTGTTGTTGGCATAAAACACCTCTTACTTTTTACAGGAAAGTTTACCAGATTTCATTGCTTTCAGTAGTAATGGATTGGCACAGACTCTCTTGTCCCTTGCTAGAGAAGTGAGTGAGACTTTCTCTGAAAGGGCTAACTGAAATAAGATAACTCCAGAGTGGAATTGCCTCATTAAAACCTTCTTGAAACCTTTCTGGAAAAGGAGTGATTTAGAGAGAGGGTATTAATTGGATAGATTCTCTGTATCAAGGAAAGGAAAGGACTTATTTGGGCAATGCTCATGAACAGTTTGAGGGAAGTTGGCAGCTTGTCCTTTCAATCAACAGGGGATCAAATAGGTCCCCTTCCACTCCCAACTAAATTTGTTTTACCAGCATTGTCGAGTATGGATCCAATTTGTAGGTAGCAGGTCAGAGCTTCCTACTATGTCTAGAACTTCAGATTCTTCCACAAACTCATTTGTTGCCTTCTCCTTTTGACATGGATCTACTTCACTAGAAAAACGTTAAAGGTATATTTAAAAAATATATTAATTCATCGCAAGTTAAACAACATTAAAATGTATTGGTTTAATGCCATTTTAATTTTATGTATTGCATACAAAGATAAGCTCACTTTTTGTTTTTTTTTGTTTTTTTTGTTCTTGTTTTAAAAGACCTGTAGACTTTTGAGTTGAACACCAGATTAAATGTATACATTTTTGCAATGCATTGTTTTAGGTCTCTAAATTCATGGAGTCACAACAAATGTACCACCGTGTAAGATGGTAGTGTCACAAACGGCACATAATCCTGCTGAAACATGAAAGCAACCTATAGGAGTCAGCTAACAGAAATGGAGTGACATTTTTGTATATGCCATGTGGAGTAGTTTCAAAAAAAATCTTAATATTTTATATCTCAAGGGGTATAATGAAAAAATTTGACAAAATACTTTCAGATTTTCAAAAAAACTTTGTTGGTTATTCCCACTTCCTACATTGCAAGCCATCTCTATACTTCAGCAAGGTTTTATAGCGGTTATTTTGTTACCAGCATCGTGCAGGTGAAGAAATGGTACTTGAGAGATCCTGGGTTTAGTTCCCTGCCACAGGCTTTAGGTGATTTGCCCAAGGTCACAGTTGAATCTCTGTGCCTCAGTTCCCCATATGTAAAATGGGCATAATACCTCTCCACGCACGAAAGTGTTTCAAATAAATTATGAGGTAGTCAGGTATTAGTGTTGGGGGTCATGAGTACCTAGACAATGCGTGCTGATGCTAGTATAGTTAACCTTTGTAACTAAGGGAAGCTAGTTTTGCAGGTGGAGCAATGCAAGTAGTATCTCTTTTTAATACTCAGCATGTCTAGTATAGCTTTTCTGAAACATATATAGCAGATGTGGTGGGATACTATTTGCAGAAGAGGACTGGATGGAACTCAATCCAGGATTAATTAATACTAGTTTAGGGAAAATGTTAGCTTATTTCTTCTTTTGGGCTGGTCATATACTTATGAAGCATTCTCAGCCTGGGAAGCAAAAGATTGGAACCAAATTCTAATGTGGAAAGCATTGCTGTTAAGCTGATCCACATGGATGGATTAAGTTTGTCTCATATCTAAATTAAAAAATCTTGTGTTCAGAAACTTTGGTGGTGGCTAGATAAGAATCTCCAAAATGATAAATGTGTGGCTATGACCAAGGCCTTAGGTGACCACGATTTTGAACCTGTACATTTGTTTTTCTTTTTCCTTTTTTAAAATTTAACCAGGGAAAATGCAGCCTTTTCTGTCACATTGTAATACTGTTTTTTGTTAATCCTGGCTTACAAAAAAGCTCCCTGGTCAAAGATCAAACAACAGCAGGAAAGATGTGAACTCAACATATCACTTTTCCGAAAAGGTGTTAATTTAAATACTCAAATATTTTAGTAGTACCTTTTATTTAAAAAAGGCAGTCTTTTTTAAAAAAAATGTAGTTTCCCCCCTTCTTTGTTTCCTTTTTTAGAGGATGAACTCTTTCAGACCCAATCAAAATCAGAAGAAGTGCTTTGTTTAGTACAGTGCTTCATATGCTGTTGGCACTCTAATGTTGCTTGATCCAATTTTATATGTGGTTTGGTCTGGTTTAGGTTATTATTTAAAAATGGTTATACTACCTTCTGCGACGGACAGGCAAACCATGTTTTAAGAAATACTGAAAACTGGCTAATACGACATTTTAATACCAAGTGTTTATATACTATGTATAGGCCATTGCAGCAGATCTAGGCTGCTTCCTCACTGACAAATCTTCTTTAAGGAATATTATAATACTGTTGGGGCATGATTGTTATTTGGTATGCTGCATAGATTGGAACAACCTATGCTATAACATTAATATTCACTGGTTCAGTAACCTAGTCAGGGCACTATCACAATACCCTTCAAGATAGTAGGTATATGGCTTTTTATAGCTATGTCACCACATGCATCTCAAAAATTAGAGGGTATAATTTATTGCAGGGGTTGTCAACCTTTTTCTTTCTGAGGCCCTCCCCAACATGCGAAAAAAATTCCATGGCCCACTTGTGCCACAACTGTTTTTCTGCATATAAAAGCCAGGGCCAGTGTTGGGGGTAGCAAGCAGGGCAGTTGCTTGGGCCCCCATGAAGCTAAGTTGCTCAGGGCTCATTGGCAGGGCTCAGGGCCATGAGCTTCAGCCCCATGTGGTGGGGCATTGGCTTTCTGCCCTGGGCCCTAGCAAGTGTAATGTCGACCCTGCTTGGCGGACTCCCTGAAACCTGCTTCGCCCTAGACCCTTGGTTGAGAACCACTGATTTATTGTATTTAAAGTCAGAGTTGGCAGTCAACACCTGTATTTTAATATGTTGAATGCTAAGTTTAACTCCTTGAAGTTGTTTAAAACTGTTATGGTGTCTTCAGATTTTTCATAGAGGACAAGCATCCTTTTTACCAGGCTTGAAAAATTCTTGAAGCTTGGTTGTACAACTTGTTAACAGAAAGCAATCTGAACATGATTGAGTCTGTGGTGTTGAATGAATTCACTGATATCTAGATTATATATTAATAATTACACTGATGGTGCAGGGATACTGGTCTACAGTTGAAGTTCTGGCCAAAGTAGTCACACAGGTATTAAACTTTTTATCTATTTAGTGACTTTTTTGAGTATTATTACATATATTACATATGGGGCAAAATAATAGCTAGCATGCTGTTCATCACAACTTTTTTTTTGTGGAAGCAGTGTGATTTCTATCATCCTGGCCCATAAGCAGATTGGTCTAATTTGATGTATTCAGCACAAGTATTTTGCTAATACTGGACTTTAGCACAGTCTCTTTGGCTGGCACAGTTCTAGTAGTAGGCTGAAAGATAATTTCACTTGGAGAAAACATTTTCTTCTGAGTCAACTTGGTTTATGATTAGTGGTGTGTTAAGACCTTACTGTTGTAGATGTTATCTCTTACCATGCTTCAGAAATGGTGTAGGTATATACAAACACTAACAAAATATACCCTAAAAGTTTGTATTTGCTATTTTTATTTAGCTATTATTGCAAAATATCTGGAATTTAAATATGGTTAGAAATCAATAAAAATTACAGCATGTGTTCCTTGTCCTTTTGGGATGGGAAATAGGTCCATCATTTGTTAGCCATGTGTGTTGGAGAACTGTTAAATCCCGAAGTGTTGGGTTGTGTTTACCCCTTTATATACTGAATCATTTAATTTACGGAAAAATACTTCAATTTTTTTCCCCCCAGCTTGTCAAGTAACTATGAAGCTCAAATGAAGAGTCTCTTAAGGATCGTGAGGATATTTTGTCATGTCTTTCGCATAGGCCCATCCTCTCCCAATAATGGAAATGACATGGGCTACAATGGAAATAAAACTCCAAGAAGTCAGGTGTTCAAGGTCAGAAAAGTATATGACGTTGTTAGGAAGATAGACGTTAAAGAGATGAATTTCACAAAGCATGCATTCATTAATCAGACATCTCATGAACAGGAAGTAAGTTTGGTTGATACCCATATCTGTTTTTAAGCTAGGCCCACCTCTTTACGTTTTGTGTAATCAATTTTTTACATTTTTTTATTGACCTACAACTTACCTTTTCTTTTTCTCTTCTTAATTTCTCCTACTAATAATCTCATGTCATTTTAAAACATTTAAAATGTCTTATTATCACTCTGTGTTTGTAATGGTAGATCTTAGTTTTTAATTTCTGTTTTAGGTTTAGTAGTATAGCTTGTAATCTCAATGCTGTAATGTTAAGAAATATACTAGAATGCATAAATGTAAATCCAAAATATGATAATTAGAGGTTTATCAGGTTTTTATCACTTCTTTTATATTTCTCAAAATAGATTAAATTTAATTTGTTTGTTTCTTCGCTTTCATCACCAAGTCTTTTCTGAAGTAATCTTGTTTAAGAACTTTCAGTCAATAACTTTATTACTGAATACTTTAAAGCTTATTGGCTTTCTACTATCTTGACACATCTGTACAAAGCTCTGGTTAATGAAGTCTCACCTCTGAATGTATATTTTTCATGTATATGATACTTCTGTAGGAAATTGCGTAACTTGCTATTTTGTAAAGCATTCCGTTTTTGCTGTCCGCTAAATTTCATCTTTTCAAAACAGAGTTGTTACATTTTCTTAATGACGTGAAAATCACGTTAGCATTGAGGTAGGTATGTATCTTTGTTGAGAGATGAATATATTGGTAGAAACAAAGCAGCCCCAAAAGAGAATACTCAAAATTTGAACCTTGTAATTCTTCTTTTTGTTGAATAGTGTTACCTACTGGAAGGAGGGGAGAAAATATATAAATTAAAAAGCCTCTCTGTTTCAGATGATGTCTGATTCTTGTTGGTAAAATAGTCTGTCCTTTTTCTCAGTGGACTCTACTGGGAAATATGAAATCTACTGCAGAAGAAATATTGCTAATATAACTAAAGCTTTTTCCTAAAACTGAAATATTACAGTTGAATAACTTGATATGCAGGTGAACATCACTAAACTCTACTCACAGTGCCCTCCCTTATTGTCAGCAAAGATTTAATGGCAGAGTGCTGTGGGGAAGGTTTGTGTTACTAAGATCTCATTGCTTCTCAAAATACACTGGTAATAGCCTTTTTACACTATATAAAGCAAAACTTATATTTTCAAATACATGAGCTGAGTATATTTAACGATGTTCTGTACTAACATGGCTTTAAATCTTAACTTGCTAATTAGCAAAAGTGAGAATTGCATGATGGGTCTCAGTTTGTTTTGTTTGTTTTTAGCGAAGTTTGTCTGTGTTTAGAAACCTTAAATTTTGAAGAGAGGATTCTGCCTTGGCTTCTGATGGCTTTTCTGTCTGGGCATTTTTAGGACAGATTCATTTTCACTTTCAGGTGTTAGCCCTCATCTCCAGTTTTACATTTTACTTTACAAGCAATAGGGAGGGCTAGTTTAAAAATCTTCAGTGGCATGTTGCAAGGAGTATGCTTCTTTTGGACTCACAGTATTCAGATAGCTTAGGTGGTGGGGGCCAGAAAGTATTTGGCTCCCAGAAGGCATGTTTTCCTCTTTAATCCTTCCTTAGGTATGTAGTGGTCCTGATCACTTTAATCCTTTGGGAAGGAAGACGTCATACTGTGCCTGCCAGTCAGCAGTGGATACTGTTTCAAGTGGAGGCTGCTTAAGATCTCTCAATGGTACCAAACAATGTGTACATATTTAATACATTTTAAAATGTATGTCTCGGGTGACATTCTGGCCCTACTGAAGTCAATGCTTAAACTGACTGCTGCTGTTAACTTCAGTGGGGCCAAAATCGATTGATTGATACATATCAGTACAAGCTTCTGAAATAACTACAGTGAGTAGCAAAAGTTACTGCCACAAGTCAAAATATAAATCCATGCAAAGGTGAAATAAGCACCATGTCAAATCATATTAAAATATCTTCCATAGTACCCTCAACATTGCTAAATTTAGGCTTTAGATTGGAAGATACTTAAAGGCAAAGGTCCTTAACTTAGAGTTCTGCCACTGGCTTTACAGTTTATCCAGTGGCGTAGCTAGGTGCAGAAAACGGGGAGCGGAGATGATAAAAAAAAAAAAAAAAAAAAAGGCGCCACCCGCTTGTACTCACCTGGCAGCGCTCCGGGTCTTCAGCGGCACTTCAGCATTGGGTCCTTCACTCACTCCAGTCTTCGGTGGCACTGAAGGATACACCCCGCTGCCGAAGAGCTGCCGAAGACCCGGCTCACTGCCGGGTGAGTGAAAATTAAAAAGGCGCCACTTGTGGTTGGTGGGGGAGCAGCCGCTGCCCCGCTCCTCCCCGAAGTACGCTACGGAGTTGATATAGGATTCCAGTTGATCTTAACTTTCATGACTGCTGTTATGAAAGTAGTAGTCTTATGTAGCTGGCTTTCAAACCATTAGGGCTTTGCTTTGAATTGCACCAAGCAGTGAGAAGAACTAGTGCAAAGGATGAATGCTATGCATTCATTTGAACTAGTGCAGAGCTCTGAGAACAGATATTGTATGCAAGTGTTCCCTCTTGTAGGCAGGTGGATGTATTCTTCACTAGGTGAAGCCGCTGGGTGCCCTTCAAGGAAAGAGCAACTCTAGAAATTTCCTTTTTGAGAAACCACCTTCCTGTGTCATGTTGTGCTGTGAAGATGAGTACAGGCATGGGAACTGGTCCTCTCTTCCCCCTCCTACCCCTAAGTATAAAAGAATAGCAGGGTGTCCTCTGTGAAGGAGCCCTTTCCTTTGGAATGTAATCCTCAGGGTTCAAAGGACCCTGAATCTGCTGACCTTTTGGACATGTTGCAAGACTGTTTTAAAAAGGCTGTAGATGGAGCAAATGTTACCCATGTTGCTGTGTAGGGAAATGTGTGGTTTAATAAATATGATCATATGCAATCTGGTTACTCCTCTTAATATACTGATTTATTGTATTTTAAAATTTTCAGAAGTGCTTAAGGTCTTGGGCCATGAATGCCCCCGAAATGGGGGTTGGAGTGCGGGAGGGGGTGAGAGCTCTGGGGTGGGGCCAGAAATGAGGCGTTCAGGCTGTGGGAGGAGGCTCCATTCTGGGGCAGGGGGTTGGAGTGCGGGAGTGGGTGAGGGCTCCAGCTAGGGATGTGGGCTCTGGGGTGGGGCTGGGGATGAGTGGTTTGGGGTGCAGGAGGGTGTTCCAGGCTCGGACCAAGAGATTCAGAGGCCAGGAGGGGGATCAGGGCTGGGGCAGGGGGTTGGGGTACGGGGAGGGTCAGGGGTGCAGGCTCTGGGTGTCGCTTACTTCAAGCTGCTCCCGGAAGCAGCGCCATGGCCGTCCTATCTGCAGGCGCCATCCCTGCAGGTCCCATTGGCCATGGTTCCCAGCCAATGGGAACTGCAGGTGGAGGAGGGGACGGGCGCTTGGGCGGGGCAGCATGTGGAGCTCCCTAGCTGCCCCTACATGAAAATCCCTGGCCCCACTCCCCAACTGGAGCGCTGGAGCGGGGCAAGCCCTCGACCCTGCTCCCCGGCGGGAGCTCAAGGGCCAGATTAAAAGGGCCGACGGGCCAGATGTTACCCACGGGCTGCAGTTTGCCCATCCCTGCTTATACACTTAAGTAAAAAAAAAAAAAAAATGGCCACAGTAATCTGGCATGGAGAGGTGAAAAGGGTTTGGATAGACCCTGAGCATGGGCTAACATGGAAAAAGCTCACAGTTTGAGGGAAGAGAATAGCTGTGATCTTACTGGAGCAAGCTTCATTTAAGCTATTCCAAAGGTACTAAAAGTGGGTGTATTACCTGTGTCATGCAGATGATAGAATGCACTAGGAGTCAGCCCCACTTCGTGGGTGAAGGAATCACTAGCTAATTAAAACTCACTGCTTGATTATACTCAACTTTGGCTGTGCAAGGAAGTCCTTTGGCTAATATACATTTTGTTTAGAAACCCAAGTTTGAAGGAAAATCCCTTTTAACTCAAATTAAAAGTCTGCCTGTGAGAAGCCCCTTTTCTGTTTACTTTGACCAGGCTCTAGTCTCCTCTCCATTATATTCCATTGAATACCTCAAATTATTTCAGATTCAAGACTGAAGTAATGGTCCCACATCAAATTGCAGCTTTAGTTTGTCAGTAACAGGCATGGATGGCTGCTTTGAGGTAGTTATTAGAAAAGGATCAGAACTTCTTGTTCTGCATTGTGTGTTCAAGCTCACTATAGATTACCTTTGCTACCTTGTAAACTGGAGGCAACAGTTTGTCCAATAGGACCCTAAAAGAGCAAACTATCTTTGAAAAAATCATGCAGGCGCTACTTTTGCTTATGCTAAATGTTTCTCCCTGCAAGCATGCTTCTGTCTTACATTGCTTAAGTCATAGCCAGTTTGCTTTTATCTGGGTCTAACACTGGGACAATTTTAAGACTGTAGAAGTCAATAAACTTGGCTAGTAATTCCAATAAATACTGATGTGATCTGCACACTTCCAGATTTACAAATTAATTGTATTCCAGGACACTTGAACTTGATAGTCATGTCCTTGAGAGTGGGCATCTTCTAAACCTGAGATCGAATACAAAAAACGTAGCAATACCTCTTTCCTGGTCCAAATTCAGTTCACATTGGACTTAGCTCATCTTATTCCAGCCAGGTACTAACACAATGCAATCCAATTAAGTGGTGGTAGTATATGCAAGGTCAGATGCCTCATCCATGGGTAAATTAAAGATTATGATGGTCTTGTTATTGATTAAGCATTAAATAGCCCAAAGTTGATGTTGGTGTTGACCAATTTCCCTGTGCATCCAAAGCAATATCCTTTAAGCCCTGGTCTACACTAGGACTTTAGGTCGAATTTAGCAGCGTTAAATCGATGTAAACCTGCACCCGTCCACACGATGAAGCCCTTTAGTTCGACTTAAAGGGGTCTTAAAATCGATTTCCGTACTCCACCCCTGACAAGTGGATTAGCGCTTAAATCGGCCTTGCCGGGTCGAATTTGGGGTACTGTG